TCCTTTGGAAACAAAGGGGATTCCCAAGATCCTCTGGGACACAGATTAAAAATGGCCCCTTGGTAGCCAACCTTCTAGAGGCTCTCTTGCTCCCTTCTGAAACTGCAGTAGTCAAAATTCAGGCCCACCAACCAAAAAGATTCCTCAGACAGAAGTAGTCAGAGGAAATATACTGGCCAACATGGCTGCCAAACAAGCTGACTCTCCACCTTTCATTTATACTCGTGACGAATTCTTGCCACAATCAGAATGAAGAGGAGGAAATAAAAGTTTTGCCCTTCTAAGCTGCCAAATTTCAATTGTTTAAAGGCCCTGGACCATGTTAAGCTGGGTATAGCTAAGCCCAGCCCATATCTGTTTAATTTTTCTCAATTTTCTGATCTTTTAAAAATTCTTAGTAAGTATCAACAACTGGCCACAGAGAAGAGATTAAGGACTGGGTACATAATAAACGTTATCAGGGTCCCACTATACATTTGTAGAATGGTCCTGGGGACAGATCTGTTTTGCCTACTTACATTCATGTTCCATTACTCCAAACCTGTTTAACCAAGATGCCCAAAATGCCAAGCAAAAGCCTCACTGATTTCTTTCAACAACATTTTTGGGAAAATGTTAATCTGCTGCCAACCACACATCATCTTTTAGCTCCACAGCTCCTGACAGAATAAGAACATTTATGATGCTGAGCAATTCTGGCTCAGACCTTTACAGCCCTTCTTGTCAATACTGTCCCTATAAACCCTCTATTCATAACAAATGTCATCTTTGCGGCAACAGTCCTCCAGATATGCTCACTAGCTTACTAATCTAAAATCCTAGGGGAAAAAACTGCTGTTTGTCATGACTCGGCCAGTCATCAGACTAAGGCCCCTGACAAAAAGAAAGAACAATGGAGAAGAGAAGATTGTAAAATTAACAAGGATACTTCCCTTTGGGAAGGGTCAGATTCAAAACCTGTAATTCCCAAGGACTTACACATCCTTTCGGTCATAACCGTCCATATGAAGGAACATTTGGAAAGAAAAAGAATCATAGACATTTTGTGAAAATACTTTTGGGGACAATTTTGGAAAGCTGTAGTACAGGTAGTAAGACAATGTCCCGTTTGCTCTGAATTCAATCCTGGAAGACCTTACTGGCCTTCACCTGTAAGATATCCTTTGCCAACTGGACTGATGCGCCAATGACAGATGGATTTCATTCAATTAACCCCTCCCAATGGTTATAAATTTGTTTTGGTTCTAATTTGTAGATATTTACATTGGGTTGAAGCTCTCCCTTGCTGTAAGGCCACAGCAGCTTTTGTGGCCAAAGTTATTAGAAAATATTATTCCTATGTGGGGCACTCCAGCTGTACTGCAGTGAAAGAGGGACCACTTCACTGGACTAGTAGTCACTGCCATGTGTAACATGTTTCCCATTCTTCAGAGACTTCATTGCCCTTATCACCCCCCGTCCTCTGGGCTTGCAGAAAGAACTAATGGTATCATAAAAACTCAGCTGGCAAAACTTACCTCTTCCATAAGATTGACTTGGCTGCAGGTCCTCCCATTAGTCTTAATGAACTTGAGGGCCCCTCCTTTTGGCCCTCATAATCTAACTCCATATAAAACTATAACAGGACAACCTATGAATCTGCCATGTTTAGTGGCTATTGCTGACTTGAATTTAATACAAATAAATTTATTAAAGTACTGTCAGTCTTTAATTCATTGTGCTACAGAGCATGCAAAATTTCTTTAAAAAAAAAAAAACTTTCAACAGTAAAGGTACTGAAAGATCTGCTACCCTACCCCTCTTGCCTGGAAACTATGTTTATTGGAAAAGACATCATCTAAAAGATTCCCCTGAACCTCAGTGGAAGGGACCTTACTTAATTTCACTCACTAATCCATGTGCTGCAAAACTGCAGGGGGTCAAGCTTGGATCCACCTGTCCCAATTGAAAAAGGCCTCTGTCCCTAAATGGACTGTTAAAGCCACTGAAGACCTCAAAGTTTAAACAATCCTGGGAAAAGACACAGACAACATCTAAGAAGATGGATGGCTTGCTTTCCCAAGATCCTGGACCAGGCCTGTATCTTGGATTTGAGCTACTATCTACGCAACCTTTAGAAAATTCTAAACTTAGTCTAGTGATACTATGAGTAATCATACTTATTTGATGTGTGTGGTACTATTCCTTCTAGTATTTGTGTTCTAATCATAATCCCTACTATCATTTTAATCCCTTTATTGTTTCATTTTTCTACTGCTTGGCAAAAAAAAAAAAGCTTTTATCAAATTAACTCAATCAGTAGCCAGCGCTAGCAATTTAACTGAATGCCGGATATGTCACTCTTCCCTTCGGTCTACACAAAATCATACCGATCCTTTCACTGTACCAATATTAGATTATAAGTGCATGCCTAATTTTACTATTGATTTAAATTTTTAAAAAAGTTTAAATGGGCTATTCATGTCAAATTACGGCTAACTGCAGAATTATCCACTTATCTATCAGCTCCCTGTTTCAACCTTACCCATGCATGGTTAGAATGTTCTACTTTGTCCGCATCATGTGATTTTTTTTTTTTAAATTAATAATGCTCAGTATTATTTCACAGGAGCAGATAACTGTTGCAAACATAATCAAAACCTCCCAGTCTGTGCCTGTCTCCAGGACCCCCTGCTAACTGGCTTGAAAAGGCCAATCAGTCCATTCCATTTCCTAATATTCAAACTGGGGGAAGTATACTGTGCGCTCCATCTGGATAGGGCTTTTTATGTGTAAGATCAGCTTACTCAAGGAAAGAGTCCGATAATTCACCCTATACTTGGGCTTTGCCATGTCTAGATGGTTAAAATATGCTAGGCCAATGCACCTTAGGAACTCCGGGCATTCTTTTAAGTATCCACACTCATGCTAATAGCATACAATGGACAAGTAACATTAAAATCGTTACAGTTTCTAAAAGGGAGATGGTGCTGCAGGGAAACCCTATACCTGATCGTCCAGGTTGGGGATGGTCATTTCTGCATGCCACTATACCTTGGTTTGGGACCATATAATTAGAGCAGTCCATTTGCAACTTGTCTGCCACCATGGCCCAACTTGATGATAATGTGGCCAATGAAACTGCCACACAACAAAAATTTTAGAATCCTTGGCAAAAGTGGCCCTGGACTACAAAAGAGCCCTAGACTTCCTTTTAGCCCAGGAAGGAAGGATTTGTGCCATTGCTAACACCTGTTGCTCTTGGATTAACACCACTGGAAAAGTTAAACAGAATATTGCTAAAATTCATCAAAAAGCTATTTGATTACATTCTATACCCCCTATAACTTTACCATCCTTTTTGGTATCTTCAGTTGGCTACGTAATACTGCTGGTTCATGGTTACAGTCTCTGTTGCAAACTTAGTTAATCATATTAACAATAATAATCTGTATTACTGGAATTACAAAATGTGTTATAAAATGTGCCTCTACCATAGGAACTAATAATGCTGCCTCATCTCATGCTCAGAGAAACTATGCATATCAACAATGCATTCGTGAACCCAAAACTAGAGAAGCCTCATAACTTAGATTAGCCAATTAAAAGTAAGTCAGGCTGTTCCTCCAATGTGGCCATATCCTATCCACTGCACATAACAAAATTACCAAAGATGACTGCTTAGCCATGGCATGGTGGACTCACGGAGCTGCCCAGCAACCACGGTACCAGTGGTTCCCAACTATGGGGGAAAATGAGGTTAACACGAAAAAACTACAAAGGTTAAGCTGCCGCCTGGGAGCAGCATATTGACGAACCCATGCAAAAAAGAGTATGCCCATAAGTGTGATCAGATGATGTTCTTCAAAATCCTTGATCAAAAGGAGGAAATGATATGGGACATAAAATCAAAAGAGGCATCTGACCTAAAAGTAAAATGGCTGAACTCATGCTAAGGCTTAATGTAGCCTTTCACACAGATTCAAATCCTGTTGCTTAGGAAGCAATCCTATTATAAGTCTTTGTGGTTAAGCTAAGACTGTAAATCTGTAACCAAATCTTATCAAACTGTTAGTATTAGATCTCCCCAGGAGATCTTATGCTCTGGGAAAGGTAATGTTTAACAACCTGTTCCTGACAGGAGCCATCATGCCATTGTTTTGTAACAGTCACGGGACTCCTTCCATGATTACAAATATTTGTAAAATTATGTCTTTTAGCCAATCAATGTATTCCCACTGTATTAACGTAACCAATAATGTTAAAAATTATGTTTCGACTCACCTCAATCACTATAAACCAATCAAAACACTGTTAGTAGTTCCTCATTGGGCACTATCAACTATGGGTGATCTGTACTTTTGTCGGGGGAGGCTTTCATGCTCCTCCATTCAAATGGTATCCTGGCTTCAATAAATCTCTTTAATTTACTTTAACAGAGGAGGAAAGTCTTTTCTCTATAATGTAAGTATGTGCCATAACAAGGATTAAACCCGCAAACAATACGCTAAGTGAAACAAGCCAGACACAAAAAACCCACGTATTGTATGATCCCATTCATGTGAAATATCCAGAATAGTGCAATTTATAGAGACAGGAAGCACCGTGGTGGTTGCTCAGGGCCGAGGGAGATGGGGGTGGGCGGGGGGTGCGGATGATAGCTAAAGGGTAGGGGGTTTCTTTTCCGTTTTCAGTCTCTTCATCTTTCTCTTTTAACCCCAGGGGTTTCCCTCCCTTCCTTGGGACCTCAGCTACAAAGAAGTCTCTGCCATTTTTTGTGCGGCACTCCTAGACTCCGTGGTGCAAGGTTTCCTAGTTTTCTTACACAACACTGGGAGCGGAGGAGGTCGGCGCCCCCAGTCTACGCCCTCACCCCTCCCGGAGGTCGTACCCCGACGCTCGCCCGTCCGCGGGCCGCCGACTGAGCACGAGCGGCCCGGGACCCACGCGGCCGCCCCTCCGACCGCAGGCTGCACCGCCGGGGCGTCCCACCCTCGCCGCTCGCCCGGTACCGACCTTACCTTTCCCCTGGCTCCGCCGCTCGAAAGGTGTGGCGGGGACGGCCCCTGGGGCGAGGGCGCGGGGCCAAGCGCTGCCTCCTCGCTGGGCCTCACGGCCGACGAATGCACCCGAGTTCGCAGCTCCCTCACTTTCCCCATATCCCCGGTGAAGAACCACAGCCGCGCGGAAACACGCCGCAGAGCCTGCCGGGAGCCAGTCCTTCGCTCTGCAGTCCCGGCGGGAAACAAGAACCGCAGCTGCTGGGATCCGCACGCTTTCTGGGCTGTGCGGTTTCCCGGAAGTCAGGATCCGCGGAGGGGCGGGGCGAGGCGTGTTCTTTCTGATCGCAGCCCAAGGTCCCGCCCCTGACCTGGAACCTTCGAACCCTCGCGTTTGCCGTGTGCCGTATGTCTGTGCCCCGCAGGCGGACGCGGTCGCGGGTCTCATTCCGGCTCCTGCCGTTCAAGGGCGGTGACCCTGGGCACGTTACCGTGGCCCTGTGACCCCGAGTTTCTCTATTTTTAAAAAGGGAGCATTGCGGTGTTAGGACCATCTCCCAGGGCTGGTGGGGCTACTCGTTCCAATAATGTCACCCGGAGTGTTTAGGAGTTCGGCTGCTAACGAAAAGGTCGGCAGTTCGAATCCACCGGCTGCTCCTTGGAAACCCTATGGCGCAGTTCTATTCTGTCCTATAGGGTCGTTGTGAGTCAGAATGACTCGGCAAGAACTGGTTTGGTTTTTTGGTTTTCTGTCATTTGGAACATGCCTCCAGACCGTGCTGGGCAAGGACCAAACCTGTGTTTCTTGTAAGACCCTAGGGGGCAGTGGTGGTTCAGTGGTAAAATTCTTGCCTTCCGTGCGGGATACCCAAGTTTGATTCTTGGCCGGCCCATGAACCTTAGGCAGCTACCACCCCTCTGTCAGTGGAGGCTTGCGTGTTGCTGTTGTTAAAGTAATATTAAAGCCAATAATAGAAATTGATTTGAGGATTATTTAGCATGCGATTTGCAAATCGGGCGACCCTTCTGACTGGAGAGTCAAGAATGTTCGAAAGAAGAAAGATTTTTCACAGATTTTTGTATTCCATTTTATCACTAGTAAATTATACATCGCCATGGAAAAGGGCTGGAATAGAACTGATAACACAGTTTGTGGCTATGCTGGATTCACACAGCATTGTCTTGAAGAACAATTAATTCCTGATGGATCCGAAGATGGCGCTTCTAATCTGACCTTTGGAGTTTTAATTTGTGGAAACTGCCCGTAGGTAATTCTAAAAAAAGAGCGCAATGTCCAAGGCAAACATTCTTTACAAATTAAGCTAAACTATTGTTTTGTCTTAAAGGTGACTTTTAGGAGACCAGTTGCTGCTTTTTATGGGTCAAAGATTATCTCAGGCAGATAGCTTGGGTGGGTCATTTTAACCTCCATGGAATCCGGAAATCTGGATTCCAAGAGAATTAAAACTCCATTCCTCACTGTGATGCTGAACAGGTTCCAGCAGAGCTACCAGACTAAGCCGGTCTAGAAGGAAAGGCCTGGAGATCTGAAAAATCAGCTGTGAAAACCCTATGGATCGCAGTAGTCCAAACAGAAACCCATCATGCGGATAGTGCAGAACTGGGCAGCGTTTCATTCTGTTCTCCGTAGGGTCACCATGAGTTGGGGGCGTCAGATGGCAGCTAACAAGAAGGCCCTGAGAGAAGAAATACAATCAGAGGACTATTTGAATGTGAGGCATTCACATCATGAGAAATATTACATTCCTCTCGAGAAATGTAGTTGGAATCTCAAGTCCACTGTAGAGAGGGAGACTGTAACAACCCTTCCCTGAGCTAGTCCATTTTAATCAACTATTATTGATCCGTTACTTCGTGTCAAGCATTTATTTTTCACATTTTCATCTGATCCTCAGGATACCTCTGTGAAATCGGGTATCGCTCTCCCACTTAAATGGGACACAAAACAAGTGCATAACTTGCCACGGGTCCCACACTGGAAGTGCTGGGACAGGACTTGAACCCTGCTCTTCTGGTCTTGTACGCTGTTTGATTCCTGCTGTGTGTGCCCTGCTGCCTCCTTGCATTAGGGAAAGCAAAAGAAGGGTAAGATGTGATTCCTGTCCTCAAGAGTTCTATTGTTCTGGCGGGGACACTAAGCTGACACGTCGAAGACAAAATACAGTATAAAACAGGCCACGGTCAGAGACCACAAGAAAAGGCCGCTGTCTTCCTTATCTAGTGCTGCTGTGACAGAAATGCTACAAGTGGATGACTTTAACAAAGAGGAATTTATTCTCTCACAGTTTAGGAGGCTAGAAGTCCAAATTCAAGGTGACAGCTCCAGGGGAAGGCTTTCTTTCTCTGTTGACTATGGAGGAAAGTCCTTGTCATCAATCTTCCCCTGGTCTAGGAGCTTCTCTGCACAGGAACACCTGGTCCAATAAGGACATGCTCTGCTCCCAGTGCTTCTTTCCTGTTGATATAAAGTCCCCCTATCTCTCTGCTTGCTTCTCTTTTTTATATCTCAGAAGAGATCGGCTTAAGACACAATCTAATCTTGTGGATTGAGCCCTGCCTCATTAACATAACTGCCACTAATCCCATCTCATTAACATCCTAGAGATAGGATTGACAACACACAGGAAAATCACATCAGATGACAAAACAGTGGACAATCACACAATACTGGGAATCATGGCCTAGCCAAATTGATACACATATTTTTGGGGTACACAATTCAATCCATGATGGCTGCCAAACCCAGGCTTACTCCTTTGCCCCCCACAAGAAAGTACCCCTAAGCGCCAGCATCCAGGGCAGCCAACCCCATCCCAGGAACTACAGTGAAATAGCAGTCCCAGGCAGAGCTGGGCACCATTTCTTAGGAAGGATAAGGATGTTCTGCCCAGCTGGATGATGGGACAGGGACCACATAGACCCCTTATATAGGGAGATGGTGGAATCAACAATTTCTTCAAGGCTGCACAACTGGCTTGAATTCATGTGCACTTAACATATTCAAGTCTTTATTGTATCTTGGTCATCTAATGCTGCTATAATAGAAATACCACAAGTGAATGGCTTTAACAAAGAGAAATTTATTCGCTCACAGTCTACTAGGTTCCAAGTCCAAATTCAGGGCATCAGCTCCAGGGGAAAGCTTTCTCTGTGGGCTCTGGAGGACGGTCTTTGTCATCAGTATTCCCTTGGTCTGGGAGCATCTCAGCACAGGAACTTCTGGTCCAAAGGATGTGCTTTGCTCCCAGCACTGCTTTCTTGGTGGTATGAGGTCCCTGTGTCTCTTGCTTGCTTCTCTCTTTTATATATCAAAAGAGATTGGCTTAAGACACAACCTGATCTTGTAGATCTCATCAGTATAACTGCCACTAATCCATCTCATTACATCATAGTGATAGGATTTACAACATGTAGAAAAATCACATAAAATGGTGGACAATCATACAATACTGGGAATCATGGCCCAGCCAACTGATACACACATTTTGTGGGGGGACATAATTCAATCCATGCCATTTGAGTATTTGCAAGTCATTATTTGTTTCTCTCCAACTAGACTTGTTCTCAACCAGTCTACCGAGGAATGCTGATGATCAGGAAACTTCCACAGGTGAAGCATATACAGTAAAGAGCTGGGGGTCTGGCATATTTGGAATGCCTACAGCTGCCTTTGCACCTGAGCCCGGTTGATTCCAGTCGTGAAAATGCTCAGGAGCGACACATTTATGTACCTTCAGTGTAGGTGACCATGTATTGTTTCAACAACCCGCTTAGTAACTATTCAAATCTGAATTGACTTTATGAAGTTGGTGCTATTTATTTAAAGACTGTATTCTCTAAAGCCCGGATTCTCCTTCCAAGATCCACCCAGTATTGAGGCAAAGATATTCAGCTGTATAAAGGAGGAAGTCTCAAAAGAAGTAGTTCAAGTGTGGGAGAGGGTTGGAGTTGCAAAAGGACGACCTCATTGACAAGAAGTCCTCACTGACAAGATGCTTTTTTTAAGTTAGTTAATTAATGAATTTAAATTTTCTTTTTGAAAAGGTAATATATGTAGATATCAAAAGGATATATGCAGTGAAAAGTAAGCCTTTCTCCCTCAGCTGCCCCCAGCCCCTGATTCCCTCCCCAGACTCAACTGTAATTACCAATTTCCTGGTGACATTCCAGACACATTCTGTACATAAAACAGTCTTATCTATGAAAATGTATTTTTCATGGATCCTTTTTGTCACACGCATCAGATCTTCCTCTCCACACTGTTCCTCACCCAGCTTTTTCACGTAACAGTGTTTCTCGACGCTTGCTGTCCTCACTACCACTGGCTCACGTTAGCAGCTGCAGAGGTCAACGGCCGCCATATTGGTGTGGCCACAGCCCTATCAGCACGGAGTTACTGTTTCCTGCCTTTCACGCCAACACACAAAGCTGGAATGCGTGTCCTTACACATACCACAAGAAACTTTCCAAAGAAAAGTTTCAGGAAGAGACTGTAGTCTGTTTGGCGATTGGTGTATAAGTACAATTCAAGTCTCTTACCACCTATTGCCCGCAAATGGCTGGATGCCTTTCCAACAGACTCATGAGGGGAGCAGAACCCACCTGCCACCTCCTTCAACAGCATGTGCCCTTGTCCCTGGGCCCTCCATGGCCAAGCTGCCGGTAGCACTCTAGACAAGCACTCTTCCAGGGCCTGCTCTGTGCTGGGCTCAGGGGACGGGGGACCTCAGTCAAACCCATGTGGATTTGAGCTAGCTTTTCCTAGTCGGCTGAACCGCTCTGGAATTCAGGATTGAAACCTATCTCGTTTGCTTCCTCGTTAGTCTGTCTCTGATGACTTTGTGCCCTGTGTAATAGTCATGTTGTTGTTGTGGGCTGATTTCAATTCACAGCAACCCTGTAGAACAGAGTTGAACTGCCCTGTCATGGATTGAATTATGTCCCCAAAAATGTGTGTATTGATTTGGCTGGGCCAAGGGTCCCGTACTGTGTGATTTTCCCTGTGTGGTAAATCCTGCCTCTATGATGTTAATGAGGGAGGATGGGTGGAAGTTGTGTTAGTGAGGCAGGACTCAATTTACAAGATCGGGTTGTGTCCTGAGGCAATCTCTGAGGTACAAAAGACAGAAGTGAGCAGTGAGACGGGGACCTCATACCATCAAGAAAGCAGGGCCGGGAGCAGAGCGCGTCCTTTGGACTGGAGTCCCTGCGCCGAGAAGCTCCTAGTCCTGGGGAACATTGATGAGAAGGCCAACAGAGAGAGAAAGCCTTCCCCTGGAGCTGACGCCGGGAATTTGGACTTTTAGCCTACTTTGACTGTGAGGAAATAAATTTCTCTTCGTTAAAACCATACTCTTGTGGTATTTCTGTTGTAGCAGCGCTAGATGACTAAGACATGCCCCACAGGGTTTCCTAAGCTGTAATCTTCACAGGAACAGATTGACATGTCTGTTCTCTTGCAGAGCCGCTAGTAGGTTCAAACCACCGACCTTTCAGTTAACAGGCGAGCACTTAACCATTGCACCACCAGGTCTCCTTACTATTGGGCAAAAAAACGATCAAACAGGACTGACCCTCATAGTCACTAAGAAAGGAGGGGTCGTCAAGGCTGCTTGCCAGAGAGTTTCTCTGTGGCCTGTGGCTAAGCTTCCACCCAACCAGAGAGCCTGCAAAACCCCAAGATCACCAGGCCACCGCCTGCGGGGTGTTTGGGGCTGTCTTCCCCTCCCTGAGAGCAAGGCTGTTAGAACAGGGCCTGTGTGTGTGTCAGCAGGCGGAATGGCTGGGCCGCTCTGTGCAGGCAGACAGGCAGCAGCCCCCCTCCCTCACTCCCGCCCCAGAGTGAGATATGCGGGGGGCTCAGAGCACAGAGAGGCTGGCAGAGAGACTCCAGCAGTAGCATCTCTCATTACTCAACGGTGAGCACTGTGAACAGATGCAGTCACAGCAGCCAGGGCTGCGGGCTGGATGGCAAAGGACCTCTGTGGGGTCATCAGCTCACACAGGCAGGCCAGGGTGGCGGCTCCTCCAGGGCAGGGATCCAGCTTGTCTTCCCACCACCTGACCCCTTGAGATGCCCCCTCCCTGCCCCAGTCATCTGCCTTCTCTTTACACCCGAGGCCCAGCGAGTAAGGCTCCGGGAGGGGAGGCAGTGGGGCTCCAGCGAGGCGAGGACCCAGTGAGGGGCTGTGGGAGGGGCCGGTGGCTCAAGAACTCTAGGAGCTCTGCTAAGCGAGCACAGAGGACGCGTCAGGTGCAGGGTGGCCTCGGACACAGGCCGCACCAGGACTGTGATGGAAGCAGGGCTCAGCGCCTCTCCATAAGGTGTCCCGCTGCACTCGGGTGACAGCTATGCTGAGGCCACCCAGCAGGCAACAGCAGAGCTGGGATCTGTGGGTCCCAGAGCCCCTGGGACAGCACTGCCCTGAGGCCTCACCGCTCGGCTACCATCCCTGCACAAGGACGTCTCTGGCTGGGGAAGGACGCCAGGAAGCAGTACCTCAGATGGAGCAGGTGCAGAGTGCCAGCTCTTCCGGAGGACAGGACGCCCTCACCTCTGTTCAGTGGGAGTGGGAGGCTCAGATCCTGGGTCGGACGGTCTTCGCCTTTTTACCAATGTGACATGAACTTCAGAGGACAACAGTTTTGGGCGTGGGGTTCCCGAATTTGGAAACTCTTAGGCTAAAGATAATGTGCCCAACTCAACGTGACCACCAAGGGGAAGTTCTGAGGAAGTGTATCAAGTCACTACTTGAGTGAGTCAAGAGCTGACTGCAGAGCCCTAACCCCTCAGAAGTGCTGGGGAGGTGGAGGAGGGGGGAGGCAGAAGATTAGGGAAGACGTTGCCTGAGACATGATTTCTACAAGTGCACGTTGCTCGGCGTGGGAGTCAGAGATGGGGCCTGAGCATGGAACTGCCATAGAGGGGCTGTGGGGCATCCTCCATCCTCCAGGAGAGCAGGGCCCAGAGCGCCCCATTCCTTTAGCTTTCCATTTCTTTTCCTTTCATTTCAGCGCTCTCCCTAGCTGGCAGAGAGCAGCAAACTGGGGTTCAGTTCTTTGGTTTTTGTTTTGGATGGTAGGGAGGGATTCAGAGCGGTCCATGCAGGTGTGTTCCAAGACATGGCAGGTAATTAGACTTGATTGAACCCCGGGGAGTCAGTGTGGGAAGTGTGGGCTTTATTCTGCAGGCCCTCCCAGGGATCTGAGTGGGAGAAAGTGGGGAAAGAGTTCCTTACACGTTCCTTGTCTGTCATCCAAAATCTCAACCTTCTCCTAGGGGTGGAAGGGTCAGGCATTCCCCAGAACTCCAAGGCCTCTGGATGCCCTGCCCTTCCTCAGCTTTGTCTTTCTTGCTTAAACCCTCCAGAGTCTCATCTGCATCCACTTCTGTGAACTAAGGAGAGGAAGGTTATGATTTCCATCCATTACAGGCCAAGAAACCGATGCAGAAAGATTAAATTGTTTCCCCAGTTTTAAAAGTTGAAAAACAGAAGCAGAAAATTCAATGGGGAGAAACTTCTCTGTAAATGCAGATAGGCACCCTCCTCAAAATCAGCAACAACAAAATACCAGGTGTAATTTTATTGCAAGCTCCGTGAATGCTGGGACCACATCTCACACAGCATTTTATTATTACATCTTGATGTTTATTGAGCACTTACCGTATGCCAGGCCCTTTGAGGGAGCCTTCCACATGTTCTCACTTGTCCTCTGAGGGGCAGGGGAAGCTGAGGCCCAAAGAAGGAAAGGACAGAGAGTTACCACTGCAAGTAGACCCACCTATCCAACCAAGTCCAAGCTGTGTCCCCAGCCTCAGCCTTCCTGCCTCCGGCCAGGCCCCTAGCACAAAAAGAGCCTAGAAATTACCAATGAAAACCAAGACACAGGAATCCAGGGTGGAAGGCGTGAAATTGCTTTGATGAGGGCACCCAGGCTTTCAGCAGTATCGCATCCCCAGAGATGTCCTCAAATGGCTCATTTGGGCATTAGTGGAAAGCACAAATTGAATAGGAAATTGGTGCTGAGTACCAGGAAGGAGAGAAGCGACGTGTCCCGAGGGCAACGGGAGAGTCTTGACGGGGTAGGGCCTAGGTTAGGCACCCCTTGACCTGTGGGAGCCCCACAGTCAGCCTGGCCTTCGTAGTAGCTGGAGAAATTAGATTTGAGGGGTCTGGGGAAGCATCATGACCCTCCTGTTTTGGAAGAAGGTGCCAGCTCACTCACGCCCCTCCACCTCTCCAATGAGCTGAGATTTTTCTTTAATCCATGCTCAGTGCTCTGACCATTCTAACCATATCAGTGTTGTTCACTGCTGAGCCAAGTGGACTCATTACGATTCCATTTTCTCCTTTGTACAACTTTTCATTCTTTTTCCCAGAGTTGATAATCGCTTACGTTTTTCCTTGCCTCACCTCCTTTGACGTTGGAACCAAGTCTTTCCTCACCCTCCACCTGCTCTATAAGATGCCTCTCGGTATGATTTCCCACAAAGTCAAACCCCTCAGTTAAGCATTCATTTCTGACCAGGGTTGGGGACTGCATAAGTGTCTAGCCAGCCCTGTTCAGGACAAAGGCCAAGCCCCCTCCCCGCTCTTCCCAGGTTACTCTTACACCCTCCGTTGGGTGACTTAGGGAAGCAGGAATGCTACCTCTTGGGCTCCCTCCCACAGGGTGGCCAAGCCATGGAAGAGGAAGGCTAAAGGAGGAAGAGGCTTTCTGAGTATTGTGGGGGTGGAGGCTGGGTGTGAGGCAATGGTGGGGGAGCCCAGGCCAGGGTTCAGGACAGTGAGTGGATGGAAACAGCCCCCAACCCCTCACATTTCTTCCTCCTTTCTACCCTCACCTGCTGCTCCCTGCATCCCCCCACCCGCAGTCCGGATTCCACTTTAGGTTCTCTATTGCACCCTTGCTGGGTGACTTGGAACCAGCCCCTGGCCACTCTCTGTTTCTTTATCTGTAAAGTGGAGATCAAGACATCACCTTTGTAGGGTTGTGTGGCATCAGATGAGAGAGAACTATTCGGAGCACTGTTCAGTGCTCCCATCACTGTCGGTTACTGCTCTGCACCCCTGCCCTCAGATCTCCATACGTGGGTGTGCCTGTGCCCCCTCGCCTCTGCGCTGTCGCTGCCAGCTCCACCCACCTCAGCAGCTCTTGCCTCCCCAACAAAGGGCGTGAAGCTGAGTCAACATCGCAAAAGGAAGTTACTGGTGGAAAAAAATTAGAAAGAAAAAGCAAAAAAGCAAAGATGGGGGGAGGGGGAGGAAAAAACAAGAGCTGGCTTTGAGGGAGAATTTGTAGGCCAGCTGAGAAGGAAGTTGGCAGAGACATGGGATAACTGAGACATGAACCTGAGAGCTGGGAAAGGGACCCCGGGCAGTTTTGCTGTTGACATGAATCCAGTTGACACTTGGGTGTGTTCTCAAGAAATGAAATTGCCTTCTGGATTTTGACGGATGGATTGTTCTGACTACCTCTTGCTGGGGCTGGCCCACACTGGTGCCTGCTGGAATGGTTCTGACCTTCTGATTGTGACCCAGTTCAACTAACACAGCATTCACTGGGCACAGTGCCTGGCCCTCCAACAGACCATGGATGTTGGGTACCCTGTTGTAGCTCCCTACCCTGCGCCTCTGTCTACTTAACCTGGAACCCCTGCCTCACAGACTCCATCATGAAAATCTTCCCTATTCTTCCAGCCCTACACCAAGGACATCTCCTCAGTGGAAACTTCCAGAATCCCTCACGCCTGGATTCCACTTTAGAGGACTCCTCTCATGCTGCCTTGTACCACAACTGGGTGCTGACACTATTGTCTCCTAGACAAGACCACGGGGCCAGGGGTTGTGTAGTCTCTGCACATCTAGCCCAGTGTCGGGCCCAGCGTTGGGCCCAGGCACAGGGAAAGTCCTCGGTGGACACCCAGTGAATTAAATTCAATTTTCCAGAAGGTATAGATGAAAGCGACTACAGATGGAATTTCTTTGTTGACTTAGTGGAAAAGCTTATTCCCAGAATCCTGCTACAGCCTTTATTTATTTGTTTGGTTAGAAATAGCCCGAAGTTCACTCATCCCTAGCTTTAGAATCTAGTTGTGTCCTATGAAATTATTGGCGATTTGTATTAGTCTTCTAGAGCTGCCATAACAAAATCTACAAACTGGGAGGCTTATGAGAACAGATTTATTCTCTCACAGTTCTGGAGGCCAGAAGTCCAAATTCAGGGTGTCAGCCAGGCCATGCTCCCTCTGAAGTCTCTATGGGAAGATCCTTTCTTGTTTCTCCCAGCTTCTGGCAGTCCCAGGCATTCTCAGGGTGGAGATGCATCTTCACGTGGCGTCCTTCCCCCATGTGTCTGTCCGTCTGCGTCTCTTCTCCTCTTTATAGGACACTGGTCCTACTGGATTAGGACCCATGCTACTCAGTATAACCTCATGTGAACCTACCTGATAACATCTTCAAAGACCCTATTGCCAAACAAGGTCACATTCACAGATGGGGCGCAGAGGTGGGAGTTAGGACTTCAACATATCTTTTTGGAGGACACAGTTCCATCTGTAACACTACTGGTACCCAGATAGTGCTGTTGTTTTAGTCTGTTTCTATTTAAAAATCACCCCTTAGTTCTTTGGGATTGCTCTCTTGTTCCTCATTTGGGATCAATATCGACTCTTTGACCAAGGGCTGGCAGGGGTTTGGGACTGCTCCAACCATGCCCTGCACCGCCCCAGGATGCCACAGCACTTCCTTCTCAGCCACCATTTCCTGATCTCCGAAGCAAGGGGGTTGAGCAACAGGCTGCCTCGCTCCTCTGAGCCTGTGGTTTCCACCCACTGTGCCCACACTTGGTGTTTGACATTAAATGCACCAAGGGTTTGTTGTCTTTCACACTCCGAAAATTATGCCATGGCACGGATTTCTGATGGAATGTATCAAACAGGGAGTGTCTCAGTTTCTCAGTGCTGCTGTAACAGAAAGACCATAAGTGGTGGCTTTAATGAACGGAAACTTATTTTCTCCCAGTTCAGGAATCTAGAAGACCAAATTCAAGGCACTGGCTCTAGGGGAAGACACTCTCTCTGTCAGCTCTGGAGGAAAATCCTTGCCTCAGCTTCTCTAACTGGCCGTCCCTGGATTTCCCTGATCTGCCTCCATCATCATGAGACAGTGTTGGTTTTCCCCCATGTTTGCTTTTCTGTGCCGAATCTGCTCTTTTATACAGGTAGTCCCCGATTTACGACAGGGTTCCATTCCGACAGCTCGGTCATAAGTCAGTTCTGACGTCAAGTCAAATAATACATCCTTTTTTTTTGAGTGTTCTGTATTATTTTAGTTTTCATTATTGTTGAATTTTATGATCAGTATATTTATAAATCCGGCAGTGTTTTGAACAGTAAATCATAAAATTGAACATCTGCGAGTGAACATCTGAGGATAACATCAGCAAATTATGCATTGCAGTATATTGCTAATGATAAGATGTAAAAAAAAAAAAAAAAAAAGGATAGTTGTAAGTGCAGTAACTCAAATACATCGAAAGTCGGGGACTACCTGTCTATCAAAAGTCATTGGCTTAAAACACACGCTACATTGATATGGTCTCGTTAACATGACAGAGAAAACCCTATTTCCAGATGGGATTACATCTACAGGCATAGGGGTTAGGATTTACAATACACGTTTTGGGGGGACATAATTCAATCCATGACAGGGAGATGACAAAACTAGTGGTGAGTGGGTCATTGACATCGGGTACTAAAGGGCAGGAAGGAAGGGAACTTGCAGAGCAGGGACAATCAGTGAAGCCTCATGGCAATGGGCTGGCATTCAGACTACCAACCATCTCCAGTCAAAGTAGGGTCACCAAGCAACTCCCCAAACTGAAGGGTCATGATGCTGCCAGAGAGACCCCGGGACCTATCACCTTCTCTGCACCCCTCCACCTGACACGTACCAGCCTATCCGATTCCCTCCTACTGAGGCCACTGCCTCCTCTCTGCTGCTGGACCCTCTTTCTAGGCCTTTCCTTTAAATGGTGGCACTGGCCAAAAGTGTGCTTACCGTACACCTTCTCTCCCAGCCTTGGGATTTTTATTACCACTGATTTGCTTCTGACACCCATCTTTCCCCCTGGAGCGCCTGGCTATGCACATTAGGATTCGCACAGCCTCATCCAACTCCCCCAGCTCACCTCACATTCCTCCTTCTCCTCCTGCAATTTCCCCTGTTTCAATGGTGACACCATCATTCACACAATCTTCCTTAAATGTTCTTCTGCTTCTGTTAGTTTCCTGTGACTGCTGTAACAAAATACCACAAAGAACAGAAGTTTATTGTCTCCCAGTTTTGGCGGCCAGAAGTCCAAATCAGGGTGGTGGCAGTGCTGATACCTTCTGAGGTTCTGAGGGAGAATCTGTCCTATGCCTCTCTCCCAGCTTCTGGTAGTGTTACCAAACCCAGGAAGGTGGGTCCTTGCCCAGTGCGCTCACAGTTGCCAATTATCTAGACACCGGTCTTTGAGAAAGAGAAAGTAATTTTATTGCAATGTGCAGAGCAAGGAGCCAGGAGGAAGTTCCTCAGATATAGCTCCCAGAGCTATGGGTAGGCAGGGATTATGTGTGATTTGGGCAGCAAGATGGCGGCCACGCAGGTGTTCTGGGGGGGGATAACTCTAGAAGGTGGCCAGGAAACAGGAGGTGACATGGTTCTTGTCAGACCTCTCACTTCAAAATAGGGTCCGGGTGATGATTTTCCTTCTGATTCATTCCACCTGTTGCTGCATCTTTTGCATTCTTAGGGTCAGGTTACAATCCCCCCTTGTGTTGTAGCAATTCCTTAATCTTAAGGGATAAGGGTCAGCGACTCATCTATCTACTTCCTGCTGACAGGGGATGGAGTTTTTAGGGACCTTCACTGTGGAGTGGGTAACTAGAAGAACTTCATAAGGACCAGTCTGCTTGAGTTGAAGCTGGCTGCAAGGATGATGGTTATCCCACTTCTTTATGAGAACTAGGTTTCCTGGGTTCAAAGGATGAAGAGGTATATCTGTGGGAAAGAACATATGACTGGACGCATTATGGTTAATAGCTTTCAGAGTTACATATAGTGACCTAAGTTACCTGAAAACACTGAGTTCCTGGACTACTTGAGGATCATCTGAAGCAATACATCCCCAGGCTTCCTTAAGGAAAGGTCTCCCATATAGCATTTCATTGGGGCTCAATTGGAGCCTGCTTCTAGGGGTCACCCGGAATTCAACAGGGCAGTGTGTAGCAGTGTGATTCAGGGCACGTTGGTCTCTTGGCAGAGCTTAGCTAGTGTCTTCTTTAAGGTGTGGTTCATCTTCTCTGTTTTTTCAGTCGACTGTGGCCTGTAGGAAGTGTGCCACTTCCACCAGATTCCTAAATATCCTGAAACTTCTTGGGTAACCTTAGATACAAAAGCCCTTCCATTATCACTCTGAAATGAATAAGGTAGCCAAATCTGGAAATAATTTCATTAAGAGCTTTGCTTACCTCTGATGCCTTTTCTGTTTGGCAGGGGAAGGCTTCTACCCACCTGGTAAAAGTGTCTACAAAACACTAAGAGACATTTGAAACCTCCTATAGCTGTTGGCATAACAGTGAGGTCTACTTGCCAGTCCTCTCTGGGTCCAGTCCCATGGGTTTGTACCCCAGGCATACAAGGTGGTGGGCCTGTTTTGGGGTTGTTCTTTGCACAGGTGACACATTGTTGCATTATTTTCTGAATAGTCTTTTGTAGATTAGGCCCTTTAATCAGTTTGGCTAGCCAGGGAAACATGGCATCCTCACCGTAATGTGTGCTCTCGTGAGCTGCCTTTATTATTGGGTGTATCAGGTGTTCTGGTATTAATACCTGTCCTTGGGAATTGTACAATCACCCATGTTCTGCTCTATTATTAAGGTCAAAGCCCCATTCATAGGCTCTGTTTATATTATGTGCAGCAAACTGGGAGTTTTCTGTTATCTGAAGATTAGGAATTACAGCAAGGCAAGTGGTGGGGTTTTTTGTTCTAGCAGCCTGTTTAGCTGCCTGATCAGCAAGGTGATTTCCTTTAGTTATGTGAGATTTCTCCTTTTTGATGTCCTAGGCAGTACATAACTGCCACTTCTGCTGGTAAATTGACTGCTTCTAGGAGGGCTAAAATCTCCTCTGCATGTTTTATTTCCCTTTTACCTGTAGTTAGGAGTCCTCTTTCTTTCCAGATGGCTCTGTGGTCATGAAGTACTGCAAAGGCATACCTGGAATCTGTGTATATATTGGTCCGTTGCTTGGATCTCAGTTGGGGGGCTCAGGTTAAGGCAATGAGTTCTGCCTTTTGAGCAGAGGTCCCAGGGGCAGTGCCTCAGCCTCTCTGGTCTCGTGGAGGGTGACGACAGTGTAGCCAGCTTTTTGGACTCCTTGTTCTACAAGGCTGCTTCCATCTGTGAACAGTTCTAAATCTGGGTTAGTTAGAGGCTGGTCAGACGGGTCAGGCCTGCTGGAGTACACTTCTTCAATTACCTGGAGTTTTTTTTTTTTTTTTTTTTTTATATTTTATTGTACTT